GCTGATAAGGCCGGTCAGAAGAAGAAGAAGAAAAGTTCAGCGTCAGCTCGTATCACATCACGCCTCTCACTACAGTAATTTGGTGGAGACGAATAATGACACAAGTGAACATCTACGGCGCTGGCTCGTCCCCAGACTGCAGGTAGAACATTATCAGCGCTGTTCTCCTCAGAACACAATGCAGCCTTCAGTGCTCGTCCTTCGTCACTCTCTCTCTCCGACTTGGGCGACAGCAGATTCCTGTAAATCAGCTGAAGGACATCTTTGTGCATGTGTGGAGAGAAGGTCCATGCGTGGGAGGGAGATGTGCGGGACACTCCCACCGCAGCTCGTACTTGGTAGCAGCTTTGTTCCACATCACCTATAGGTGAGGTGTATAAATAGAGCCTTATGCAATGCTTTAATGTGACATTACATAATTATAAACAGCAGAAAACAGTCGGCCCAGGTGAACACAGAGAGCTGAAGGATCTGCCTTTTCTTCCCCTCCTCCTTGTTCCTGCATTCTTCCAGCAGTCACCCTCCTGCATAGCAGTAAAATGACAAGGCAGAGGTTGTTCACGCTGCTGCATCAGGAGCTGTTAGTCGAGTTTAGTTGCTAATGAATGTAAAGCCTGCATTGCTATGCAGCGTGAGTCGTGATTTATAGCATGTGAAAATGTGCTCTCACTTCCAATCTCTGCATTAGGGTATTCAGGTGAGAGTTAGAGTTTTATTGCTTTTTTTTTTTTACCAGACAGAACGCAGCATCAGTGTGCAGACAGAGGAGCAGAACTCACTGCTGTGTTATAATTGGTCTCATTTGTACGTTATCAAAGGTAATTTAAAAAAAAAAGTGGAAGTCTCTATGATTTTGTTTTCAGCATCAATCTGTGGATTAGATTTTTTTTGGATCTAAAAATACTCCACACATCTTCACTTTGCTTGTTTGGCTCCAAAAGAGCAAAAACAAGTGAGAGCAACAGCACTCAGGAAGAAATCAGGTTCCTCATCTCACAGCTTTGCTTTTTACACTTAAAACTTCCTGTGGGCATCATGATCTCAGTGATCTGCAATAATAATAAACAGAATCAGGACAAAGAAGCTACTATAACTGTTGCCGACTTGTGCAAACATTTCCACGAAAGGTTTTTAAGGGCAGTGAACTGAAATTCTCTCAACAGCGTCGTGTGTGTTGTTGTCATTCACCAGAGATAAAAGTAGTTTGAAGGAGCTCTTAAGAACAGCGTGCTGTCTATAAACGTGCACAGGAAGCCGCTGTGCACTCGACATGGACTCCTGCAGCATAAAGAAAAGCTCGTATGAAGAGTCAGTGGAGTGGAGCTACTTTGTGATGTGGAGGTTTTGGCCGGTCTGCTTTTAAGATGAGAACTAGCCTTGGGTTCAGTGCTTAATCGAGGTTCGCTGCTGCTGCTGCTGGTATTCATGTGGTGTGGATTAAAAAACTTTAATGGATGGTGTCATGTGTATTCTGCTGCAGCGAGGAACCCTTTTCATTTGTGGCTCCCTGGAGAAGTACTCGTCATTCGCTCCTCCCTGACCATTCCCACCCCTGTTATGCAATGGATTGTTAATGTGTGTGTGTGTGTGTGTGTGTGTGTGGAGTCACTACAGCATGAATGATGCTGCAGTCAGTCAGTCAGGCTGTGAGCGCAGCCCTTTCAGACGGATGACTGACACACGGTGACCGTTGTTCAGGATGGATGTTTGACTTCTGACTCCCACGTTATTGATTTCTTCTTCTTTTTATTTTTTTTTAAAGTCTGACCCGACCTTTCCAGACGTATAGTACTCTGGAAGGCTATTTTTGAAACGATGCCTGCGTTGCTCGGACTGCGCCGTGAGTGTGTTTGTGTGTGTTTTCTCAGCGATAATGGACCATCTAGTTAATAATGCAGCAGCAGGATCGCACTGCACCACCTTTCCTCATGAAAACTCATTTTTTCCTTTTGTCGCTCGCTCCCTCTCTCTCTCCTCCTCTCCTCGGGCCATCTTTACAAAACTATTTCATTTGTCCCCATCGACCCAGTCTGTCAGTATTTGCACAGCCAATATAAAGCCTGGGAGGAGATAAACACATTCAAGTGCAAACTGGCCCAGTGTGTGAGCGAGTCCTGCTCTGTGAGTTCTTGTGAATGTGAATTACTGTTTACTGTCAGTTTCAGTGGCTCCGATAGAGAGGCAGAAATTTCCACTCCTCCTAGAACTGCTGGTGTTTGAGTCCGCTGAGAGTTTCAGGGTTTTTTTGTACTGTTTAGCACCTTTCCTGTGAAGTGTCAGTCCAGAGTCCGGAGTGAATGAGCCTCTTCCTCTCCATTGATGCGGCAGAACAGAGTTGTCCAGGTTAGCAAAACTCTTCCTGCAGCTGCTTCCAGGCTGTTTGATGTTTTTTTTTGTAAATTATGTTCCAAGTCTGCTTTTGCCTGATTGGAACTGTGTTCAAAGACCCCCTCTGGTGAAATCCAGCTTTTTTCATCTTGTTAACATGTCCGTAGAGGGTTTTTTAATATGCTGGAAGACATGATCAGCAAAATAAGGAATTAAAGCCACGCCTGAGCATCTCCATCAAGCTGACTCAGGGTGAAGGCAGGTTCACCTGGACAGGTAACCAGTCTATCACAGGGCTACACTTAGAGACAGACAACCAAGCACACTCACATTCACACCTACGGACAATTTACAATCACCAATTAACCTCAGCATGTTTCTGGACTGTGGGAGGAAGCCGGAGAACCCGGAGAGAACCCACGCTGCACGGGGAGAACATGGAGACTCCACGCAGGAAGATCCCGGGTGTCCTCACCGGGACGTAAACCAGTGACCTTCTAGCTGTGAGGCGCTAACGGTGCTAACCACTGAACCACCTGCAGCCTTGGTTCAAACACATATGAATAAATTCCATCTTCAATATTCCAGCTTGTTGTTTGGTGGCAGCTCACCTGTGGCTGAAGTTTCACAGTGTTTGAGTCGGAGGTGAGCTGGTGTGCTTGAGCTGCACCAAGTAGCAGAGGAGGAGGGCTGGTAGAGTCACAGCTAATCCATGTTGCTATTATAAGGCAGGAAGGGATTATTATTGTTAAAATATGTAGTTTAAATATATGAAGACTTTTTTTTTTTTTACAGGTTTATTGACTCCCTGAGAGACTCTTTATATTGTACCTGCACGTCTTGAAATATGACAAAAATACTGATTTACAGTTTCCTCACAAAAAGCCCTTTACATTTTTTATTTCATTAACAATAAATCTCACTTTTTTTTCTTTCACACCAACCCAAAGCATTAACATTGTTTTCTAAAGTACATTTATGGATTAATAATGTTGTTGTAAATTATACACCATGTTTTTATTGAGATCCTTTATGATCATGAATCAGAAATTACATTTTATGGGGTCGTACGATCTAGACCTTCACTCTACAAACCCTGATGTGATTTATAAGCGACACATTCATTAGTAATCAGCTAAACGTGGCTCCAGCAGCAGCAGACGAGACACTTCGGTGGTAAAGTTCCTCTTTTGTTTTATCTCTTTTCTTTTTGACCACAAACACCTGCCCACTCGCTCCCCTGAGGGGTCACGTTTGTAAGTTCTTGGCTCCGTCCTGATAACAAATTGCCATTTAAGTGTTTGTGTGTGAGTTCATAATAGAGCTTCCTCACCGCTCAGTGCTTTCTGGTCAGCGTGATGGATGGCGGATGGATGGATGAATGCCAGGCGATGCGAGTGAGTCAGACATGAGGTGCATCTCATTTTTCTTATTTGTCCGCTCAGTTTTGTTTTTTTCTTCCTCACTTTGCAATTTCCTCCTCGGCCCTCCTACTTAAGACACGATGAAGGGATGCGAAGGAGGAAGGATCCAGGCCAATTTTATCAAATGAGATGTTTTTTCCCACAGTCGAGCATCAGATGATTTACTATCGCTCAGTGGTAACAGGTGCCCAGCTGGAGGCTTATTGAGTTTTTGTTCATACAAATAGTAAAATATTTCATATGTTACTGAACCTGGGTTTCCTTACAAGCAGTTTCCTGTTAATTGGCTTTCTAAAAACTCACTTTTAAGAACCCTGAGGCTCTCTCATTATGTGTTGAACTTCAGAAACCTTTGCAGGAAACCGCATCTGCAATCAATACGATCTTATCCTATCATCTGTAGAGTCACAGCTAATAAAGCGATGTGCAGCGGATGCAACAGCCTCCTCCTCAGAAGATTAAACGTGTCGTGGAGACGGGCGACGTGGAGGTCTGCTGAACCAGAACACTCTGTCTCTGCCTCCCAGTGAGCTCATGCAGACGGCACCAGAGTCCGTGCACCGATCACATGAACTCCTCTCTCCTCCCACTCGCTGTCCTCTTCTGCACACCGAGGCAGCAAACTCTCCCTGCCTCCTTCCCTCTGCCTCCTTCCCTCCGCCCCACTCGCTGTCCTCTTCTGCACACCGAGGCAGCAAACTCTCCCTGCCTCCTTCCCTCTGCCTCCTTCCCTCCGCCTCCTTCCTCTCTCTTCGCCGTCCTGCCCGTGCACCCTCCACCTCCAAAATCCTCCTGCAGCCGGTTGCCTAGCAGCGCGGCGAGAGCTTGACAGCGTTGACGTGGTGTGCGCGGGACCACTTCCTGTAAACAGGCGAGTGGGTGCTCTTTGCTCTCAGCTACACAGAGATAGAGAGCGAGAGTTAGACGAGACGGCCTAAAATAACCCTTTCTGACTCTCGCAGTGACGCGCAGCGGAGGAAGAATCACGCCAAGTGAAAATTTCTCAGCGAGAGAGCTGCTGGAGTTTATCTGCAGGAGTTTCAGGAGCTTCTCAACTGTGTTTTCTGTTAATGCCACAAAGCATGAGGCTGGAAATAGAAGTGAACGCAGCAGACAACGGCCATTTAGGGCTGGAGATGGTGTCATTGTGCATAAGGCCGGCCTGGTTGTGTATGTGTGCCCTCACTGGACACGACTCGCAATGTGTTTCCAGTCTGCGCTCAAACTGTCAGGCTGATTGTGTCACATGAAGCTCGTCTGGATTTATTCAGTAAACAAACAACATTGACACACAGAGTCTTCTTCATTATGGCTATAAGCATTTTCAGTTTGCCCCGCTTCTTCATTAACCTCGTCTTCCTTTCTTCTTGTTGCTGTTCCAGCTCGGTGGCGGTGAAGATGACCACGGCCCGGTACCGTCCCACGTGGGAGCTGGCCGTGGACCCCCTGGTCTCGTGTAAGCTGTGCCTTGGAGAGTTCCCTCTGGAGCAGATGACCACCATCACACAGTGCCAATGTGTCTTCTGTACACTGGTGAGCTTCAGCCTCCACAAACCAGAAGGACTTTTAGTGAAGATAAATGATCCTCAAAACAAGTTCAGAAAGGTCAGAGAGCATAACAAAGATCTCATGATGTTGTTTGTTAGCAAACGAGTCAAAGTGTCACATGTCCCTGCAGTGGCTCTTTTAGTGTTTCAGCTCAAAATAAAGCAAATCTGATTAATTTTACCATGATTACAAAACCTCTGTTTGAGTTCGACTTGCTCTGACGTCTTGCAAAACCAGGCAGCGATAACATTGTCAGATCATTTGATTTGTCTGATTTTGAAAGTTTATTCTGTTGTATTCAATTTTATTTAAAAAAGCACAGAGTCACAGCAAACATCCTCTCACAATGCTTAATGTAGTACAGTAGAATCCAACAATCCAAGGTTTCCTTTGGGTTGCCTGTGAGCAAACAGTTGCCAAGGGTGGGAACCTAAAAAAAACTAAAACAGAACCAGGCTGAGGGAAGACGTCCATCTGCCTCGACCGGTTGGGTTGAGAGTGGAGATGAGGAAGCTGTGCAAACAGAACAATAAACGTTCTACAAGTGAGTTTGATGTTTATCTGTTAGAGAGGCTGAATACATTCAGATGACACATACATAAACTGCATACAACACGTCATTCAATTCGATTGTATACGAGGTGTGTCAGAAAAGTTCCAGGACTGGTGTCACAGAAGATATATTTCCCCTTCCAAGTCATCCCCCTGGAGTCCAACAAACTTCCCCAGCCTTCTCTTCACGCCGCCATGCACTCCTGGACGGATTCATCCTCATCAACTCTGTCGTCACAGCCATCTTGATGTCGTCCACGTCTTCTAAACGGGTCCCCTTGATGACCCCCTTGAGCTTGGGTAAGAGGAACTGTGGGATGCTCAGGGCGTTGTGAGCAGGTTGTCATGGTGAAGCAGACACAACTCTGCCTCCTCTCTGAACGAAGCAAACGCTGCAGGATCTCTGTAGACGTGCTGGTTGATCGTCTGAAGGGGAAAACTGGTAGTTTGTAATTTGAAATATGTCTTTAGTGACACCAGTCCTGGAACTTTTCTGACACACCTTGTATGAACATTTAGCTGATGGAAATCTTAAAGTATTTAGCAAGATAAAAACTTATGGTAAGGGATGTGAGGGTTGTTAAAATAAAAGCTCTTGAATTTTTTCATAGTATGTTTGACTATTTATCAGAGTTTTAAATTTATTAATATAGTCTGAGAGGAGCCGGTGTGGTCATTTAACTGATCTGATGCCACTTTACATGACGATTCATATAAAACGGAGGTTGAACCACGAGTAAAGAACACGGAGAGCGTTTTAATAGGCGGCCCTGTCGTGATTAAAACTGCTCTCCAGGCGAGACACACTTCATCTGAAGCTGACAGCCAGAGCTCTCAATCATAGCTGGACGGCTGCTGGTCCGTCAGGTGTTACGTAGCATCTGGGTCAAATTCTTACTATCTTGTGAAGCTGGGAGACTTTCTAGTTGTAAAGGGGGGGAGGAGGCTGGAGTAAACATCTTCATATCTTAACAGCTTTTACTTTACACCTCTGAGATTCTGACAGGAAGGAAACACAATAAAAATTGATTTTAATCATATAAAGCTGATACAAAAAGAAAAGAAAAACTATGTAAAAGAAGTTATATGCAGTAAAATAAACCATCAAAGAGATGTGAACCTATTAAAAGCCGTCCGGGCGGCGTGTTGAAATCAGTCATGTCTTCAGGATCTCGGATGACTCTCACGTACCTCCCGTGAAACAGCTGAGACGGACAAATAGCGAGAGCCACCGGCCATCAGATCTTAACCAGTGTATTTGAGCGATGAGGAAACAATTCCCAAGAATCGCTGCTAAAAATAGCCACGACTTCCTATCACAGAGCCCGGGCGGCGGCTGTAGCTACCAAAGTTGTGTCGGCGGAGGTCAGCAGCCAAGTCAAGACGTCGAGTGATTAACGTCTGACTCGAGCTGCTTTCTTTATCAAACACTTAATGCTGACATTTGTTTTCTATATATGTTTTTGGCAGACCGGGCTAGAAAATGAGCAGTTAAAATAAATAAACACCCGTAGAATGGAAGCAAATTATAGCTTGGTTTTATTCACCTGGAAGATACCTGGTTCTTATTATAGGGTTCAAATAAAGCAGCGTAGTTGATGTTTTGAGCGCTGAGGGACGGTGAGACGAACCGAAAGCACAAATAAAATGTGTGATTCTTCATCCAGCAGGCTTGAACTAACAATAGAGTTTATTTTTGAGTCATAAAAAAATGTGATTCTAACATCAAATCCTATATCTTGTTATTTAGCTGCTAAACGGTCGGTTTCTTTGCTGTTTTGATGCTGGTTAAATCGTGCAGAATGGATTTATTTTATTTTAGCTGAAAACATTACAACAGTAGGACCTAAAACGGTGAGTTACAGGAAGCTGAAGGGCTCCACGGAGCAGCTGAGCAAAGCTGCAGAAGTCAGGTGATCCCAACTATCAGCAAATCCTTTCACATTAGTGGTATAAAAATAAGGATAAATGCAGCTTAAAGTTCTGAGCTTTTAACGAATGCTGCCGCCGCGTCGACCCGCCTCTGTTCCTGTCAGACGTAGTGATCGTAGCAGTCTGTTTGTTTTGCTTTTCTTTCCTCCCTCCAGCCGACTGAGTGGCCGCTGTAATGAGTCGATGCTGCATTTGTCTGTTTCTCCTCAGTGCCTGAAGCAGTATGTGGAACTCCTGATCAAAGAAGGCCTTGAAACTGCAATTAGCTGTCCGGACTCTGCCTGTCCCAAAAGAGGACACCTGCAGGAGAATGAGGTATTTAAAAACAAGACAAATGTGGTTTCTTCTTTAGGACAGCTTGTGACTGGATGCTGGTATGAGAACGTTTCCCACAGCTCGTCAGGCTCATGAACCTTTCTGATAACGTCTGAGCATCGGACTGGAATCCCCTGAAATGTTCATAAATAGTCACATTTTTATTTTCCCACAGTGATGCACGCACACTGAACAAACACATACACACAGCAGGTGATATTTTATTAAATTCTGCCCATTCTTTTTTTAAACATACTGGTATTTATTGGTCCAACAAGCTGCATCTGGACGTTATAAAACAACCACTATATTGGAAGTGATAACGGGCAGACCGAGAGTGGGTTCACAGAGCAGGAATCACGAATAGGGAATGAGTCACACGTCTGCGAAGCTCCAGAGTTAATGAGGTTGTCGATGCCGCTCGTGGAACGTCTTCCTCCTGAAGGGCTCGGCTCAGTTGACATTTTTGGGGGCGGGATCGTGCAACGTCGCATCCGTGCACGCGTCCGTCCAGAGCATCAGATTGTTTGTCCTGCCGCGCTGTCTGAAGCGATTTCTCAGACGACGAACGGATGACTTGTGGACATCCAAGTGTCCTGACTGACATGTCGGCATCCAGCATGCCAGCAGCCCGTTCTCGTTATGCTCTTCTCATCTGTGGCGTCGTTTCATTTGAATAATTTTAAGGTTTTTAGTTACTGGTCAAAGGAGTGGACTCACTGTCTGATCATTTGTCCACATCTGACTGTAAGGAAAACCTTTTGGTGCACTAAATTTTTCAACCAGTTAGCTTCATAAATTACCCCTAAGTTGAAAAAGAAAACCATTTGCAAGCTGCATTTGTGTGTGTATTTGCATGGATCTTGCACAACAATCTACTGTATATCCAATACATGCAAATGCAGCGCATGTCGAACTGCTGGTGCATGATTTCCACGCCGTGTTCCTCCGGCTGCAACAAACAAGCCCGCGCTGGACTGGAAATGCAAATAGAGAAATGGGTAATGAGCCACATGTCTGCAACCGACATGTCGGCATCTCATCTTGTCGTCTGTGACGTCGTGTCGTTTGAACAAAGCTGCATTTTAAGGTGGTCAAAGGAGAGTCTTAGTGGTAGTCACGCTATCTGAAGCCACGCCTAAGCAGGATGTGGGTTCCCTCAATGGGCAGGAAGCTTTGAGGATTTTGATAACAGTTTAAAATCTTTTGTTGCACAGTTGTGTAACCTTTTTCAGTTTGTCTGTCCGGTGTAGATTTGCATCAACCTTGCACAACAACCTGCTTCATGTCCAACGCATGCAAACGCAGCTCATGTACACCTGCACATTGTCCCATGCCATGCACCTCCTGCTGGTTTCATGTTGTTGTTTTTTTTTCTCCCTCCCACATACAAAGTAGTTTCACACCTCCAAAGCTCCAGCCCGAGTCCAAATGAGCATCACACTCCACCCACCGGCGTATTTATGTGATTATGATAAGCGTTCCCGTCGTGCCTGCCTTCGTGGAGGACGTCGGTCTCTCGCCGGCAGCTCGGTCGACGGCTCTGCTCGCTCTTCGGCTCGGTCTCGGAGGCCCACGGGCGCGGCACGCTTCAGCACACCGCGGCATTATGCTTCAAATCAATTAGTATGACTGGCTGTTAATGGAACCCCACGACTCCTGCCAGTCAGCCGAAGCCTCCCTCGTCCCGTTCTCGTCTGTCAGCAGTGCCTTCACCTTGTAATTGACTGTTCTTTTACAAAGCCCGAATGTTCGATTCATTGCCCATTAAACGAGAACATTTAACCTTGAGCGGGCCTGCGTGTGCACCCCGGCGTTGGAATTCTCTTTTATTGTCTGAGAACAGGGTTCGGGGCCTTATTGGTAAGCAAGTGGCAAGTTCCCATCCTGTGGAAATTTGATGTTTGACATTGTTCTGGAGATGAAATTCGCATGCTGAATGTATAATTGCTTCATGCAGCTCCTGTCTATAAATATGCACAATGACCTGCTTATTTCCCTCCCACTTCTCTTCTCTTCTCTTCTCTCTCTCCTTCCTCCCTGTAGATCGAGTGCATGGTGGCCACGGAGATGATGCAGAGATACAAGAAGCTTCAGTTTGAAAGAGGTGAGTCAACGCAGGAGCGGCCGTAGTGCGTCAGCGGCGGCTCCGTCGGGGTCCTTAAGTGGGTAAAAGCGACTGTCAATCACGGGCGCACACGTGGACCCTCCTGTCCTCCACAGATATTGTACTTTTACGCACAAAAGGCAGCGAAGTCTGGCAAAGTGTAGCCGCACCGCTGTGAGCTGGAGTCAGGCATTCGCCCCCCGAGGACGTCTCTGCTATTGAATTACACCGTGGGGCATCGGTGGAAAAGATTTGGGCTCCTCGTGTTTGCCCAGTGAATTCAGTCTTCAGCTCTGACAGCTGGTGACAAGCTGTCTGTTTTTCTTTGCGTACGTTTTTATGGAATCGGTACCTTGAAATAATCACACAGACGAGGAACATGCTTGACTTATATTTGTCTGATTTGTACTGGAGTTAACCTCATCAAACACTCGCTCACATCAAATATACATGACGGGGAAAGCCTCCCGTTCTTTGTTTTAAAAGATTCTAATTGGCTCGGTTTGGCTGTGGACTCTGATGGAAGTAGGTCTGTTATCATAGCGAGATATTCTCTTTTTATCTCCTCCCTCGGCGTGCCTTCAGTTTGTACCGCTCGTAACAAACGCTAACCTTCTGATAAATGGCTCGGCCTGGAAAGATAATGGCGGGTCTGTGCCACGTTGCCCCCATGCTGACAGCGAAGACGTGCAATCAGTGGCCTCAGAGTTCCGTCGCTAGCGGAGACGGCGGTAACCAAGCTGTGCTATCGCTCTTTGATGGTACTCGCCCTGCAGGTTCTCCACCTACACAGAGGCACAGACTGTACACAGAACACACAGATCGCACTGGCAGAAATAAACGCATAAACATAAAGACAAACATGTATTTAGCGGCTCGGAGGACGGGAGGAGGGGGTCCTGTCGATGAATAAAAATCCTCAGAAAGAGCTGTTGATTCCGCCTGGATAAGGGCAGTGAGCCGTCTCATCAATGTCCCGGTCCAGTCAGGCAGAACAGTTGTTGTAACCGTTCCATATTCCTCGGACCGAGCCAAGAGTGCATGTGGAATGTGTGCTCGCAGTTCTTGGCAGAGAAGCTAGGGGAAGGAAGGACAGGATACGAGGGCATCACGCTCTGTACTTAGAACTGGCAAAAAAAACAACACAAAAACTGCTCTCTGCCACCTTAGAAAGTAACCTAGAATATTCAGACGGGTCGCCATGGAGACAAGTTAACAGATAATAGCAAGACAACAATTCACCAAAGACGTTTTCCAGCACATGCAGATAGAAGATATGATCCTTTACAGTATATTAAATAAAGCATGTACCATTTTATAAGGTTACCTCGAAGGTCAGTCGATTGCCCTCGTGCATAAAAACCCCGTCGCACGCAGGTTCTGACGCTCAAGTTAAGATGTTTTTGGAAAATGTGGATTAATGAACCACTGGGCGGTTACCCATTTGGCTGAAATGAACCTTTAGGAGTGCAACTATCCCTGACCAGGCGCTTACTTTGCTCCGTCAGAGGTGCTGCTGGACCCGTGCCGGACGTGGTGCCCTTCCTCGACCTGCCAGGCCGTGTGCCAACTGAAAGAAGCAGATTCTCCGGCTCTGCCCCAGCTGGTCCAGTGTGCTGTATGTGCCCTCGAGTTCTGCTCGGCCTGCAAGGCCAACTGGCACCCCGGGCAGGCCTGCCAGGAGAACAACCTGCCCATCACCTCCTTCCTACCAGGAGAGAACAGGTACTGCTGCTTTAGTTTGATTTCTCTGACAGTGAGGTTTTATGGTGCATAATCAAGAACATTCTTCAGCTGATGAAGAAAGTAATATAACTTTTACACACAATTATTTAGGATTTCATCACATAATTGCATCCTCAGTTAAACATAATACATCTCAGCAGTATTTTAGTAAAATAAGAAAGTGTTTCCATCATCCAGCATCCTTCAACGAGCTCTTGAAAACGATGTTTTATTCGGCTTTGGCATGTTGTGACAGAATCAGCAGCTGTAAGGCCTCATCTACAAACACACTCCCTGGAAATGATGCTCATTATCCCACAAATACAGTCGTCGCAACCTCCGTCTCCTGCTCGGCCCACCTGACTGTGGCTGAGGACCACTTGTCAGTGTGCAGCAGGATTCCTCCGGCGTGTCCTTCTGCTGCTCAGCTGTACGTCAGCCAAAGCCCCGGCGCAAATTAATAGGTAGACATAAAACAATCTGCCGAAACTAAACTGCAGTAAAGCAGCTGAGATGGGTTTATTATTCATTTTAAGGATCCGGGATCTGGCCTGCGAGGGTAAAGGAGGGCTTCCTGGAGACATATACGGCTGACCTATTTCCTGGCCATATCCTCTTACTGTGGAAACGTCATTAGCTCCGCAGAGCTTTCCTCTACCTGCACAGGTTCAGGGCCGAGCTCAGAGGCCACGCTGGAGGGAGGGTTAGCGGGGGATTAAAAGGTCCGCGCTTAGTTGTACAGAGCCTCGGTGTTTGAACTACACTTGTTCACGCCAAGGATGTCTTTGAGAACTTGATTCTTTGAATTTGAGGAGGACGACCGGAGAAATCCTGAACCTCCTCATTTGAATTTCTTCTCCAGTATCTGATGCATATAAGTTAAAAGTTCAACAGGCTCTTGTTCTGTAGTTTTGGTTCTTTACACAAATGAATTCCATTTCCACGACAGTGTTTTCTCCCCAGACACACGGGTTGCAATCAAAAACCTGAGTCTGTTCCTAAAAAGCTCAAAACCAGATTTAAACTTGGCTGCTCTCGACGTAGTCACCTTGTGCTGCTCCAAACGCTCTCGCCGCTCTTCAGAAGTCCTGTTCTGTGAGCACCATCTGCGGCGCGTGCTCGTTAGAACCGCGACCCGTCTGCTTTAATTACATTTTGGGGACGTCGTAGGGAGGCAGATATGGTGAGTGAGGCAGGTGTGGCGTGACGACTGTGTCGGTGCAGCCAAAAAAACGAGTTGCTGCTTTGTGGTAGAGCATCCGAATGCAGTCACGCCACATTTAGGGTCATGTGCGGGCAAAAGCTCCCCCTCCGGCGCCGCAGGATGCTACAGTAGAACTCTGACAGTCGAACCCTCGGGGACGATGCACAACCCCATCAGTGTCAAACACAACGACAAGCTGGCGTGCTCCTGACGTGACTCACGGTCTCCGTCTTGGAGGATGTCTTCACTGGGAGGACTGCTGCTTGGTCTCCGGGTCATTACTGTAGAAGCATAAAGGCCGGGTCATACCGGGCCTGCTCCTCTGACATGGAGCTGCTTCTGCTGCTTCATAGTAAAATTTAAAAAGAGAAAAATGCCCCTAACATGGTCCCTGTGTTGATCACACAGCATAACGTGGATTCCTGACTCAGCAGAGCGCTGCTCGCACCTGTTGCTCCACCGGGCAGCGCTCCATCCCTGTGCACAGGCAGCAGACTCTGAACTTTTTGATTGCACCTTGTATAAATATTTTTCAACCGTCTACCAGCCGCTGCAAAGTACTGGTCTAACGGCAGAACAAAAAACAATCTCGTGCTCTTCTTCCCTTCAGTGCAGTCTTGTGTTTCAGCTCCTCACTGGCTGCCAAACGCGAGCTGAAGGAGGCGGCGGAGGTGTTCGAAATGGGCTTTAATTCGCTCAAAGGCGCAGCACGTTCAGAGAGCCAGCCTGGAAACAAATGGGCTTATTTGCTCTGCTTTTTTAGTCTGTGAACGCTGCCCAGAATGACAGAGACCCGTCACCCCCAGGTTTTCATAGAGTCAGCACTTTACAAAAATAGGTGAAATGGATACAGGAAAGCTGACACGAACAGGACAAAAAAAATAAGCGTCTGGGAGGGAATTCAAGGCCGTTTAGTGGTTTTTAGGAGAATTATTCCACTCCTGAACCAAAGCTGCATAAAATCCTGTCGAGCCAAAGGAGCGAACGTTGAATGATTTTAGATGAAATGAAAACTCTCTCTTTCTCTCTGTGCAGCTCTTTCTACAAGAACGAAGAGGATGACGCACCAATCAAGCGCTGTCCTAAATGCAAAGTTTACATCGAGAGGGACGAGGGCTGTGCACAGATGATGTGCAAGAACTGCAAACATGCCTTCTGCTGGTACTGTCTGGAGTCCCTGGATGTGAGTTGGAGCTTTTGTTTTTCCTTAATAAATAAAACAAAACAGGAAAATTCTGCATTTATTTCGCTCTGCGGTTTAATATTGCGACACCTTGTTTGCTCACTGTGATAATCACAGATAGGGACCTCGTTTGTCTCCCCGTGACAGCAGTATCGCTCATTACCAGGAAATTGTAGCTTAACCTTGAGCGTTGATAAGAAGAGAATAATATGCATTTGTTTTTTTTCTTCTTTCTTTAAATTCATCACAAGACTGATGAAAATGACACCTCAGCTGAACTAGGATGAGGGCGACTTATGAGCCGGGGTGTCTTGTGTAATCGGACCACGGTGGTCATTTAAAAAGCAATTTTCCTCAGAAGAGCCTCCGTGTGTTTCAGACTGCTAATGGTCAGTCTTTATCTGTGTGTGTGTGTGTGTGTGTGTGTGTGTGTGTGTTTACGCGGCAGGATGACTTTCTCCTGATCCACTATGACAAAGGACCCTGTCGAAACAAACTGGGCCACTCCAGGGCGTCTGTTATCTGGCACAGAACACAGGTGAGAACACCCACCTCTCCGACCCTCCCCCCTGCAGCATGCGGCCGGACACGTGCTCGCCGGTTCTGCTTCTTCTCCTCCGTTGGCTCGCCACGCGCTCGGCGACGTTGTCTTGACGGCACAATAGGAAAAAAAAAAAAAGAACAGCTTGATCCGCGTGCGATGACAAGTGTGTGCTGGTCAGTGTCCTGCTGCTTCCAGCTAAGCCTATTATGTGCACCTTTTACTGTCAAAAAAAAGAGGAGGGTTTACATAACCGAGGTTCTTCTTCACCTCCAGGTAACTAAATAAAATGACAGATTACACATAAATGATTGGATGTGACGTGCAGATCTGCACACGTGAAATGATGCAGGAGGATCGGACGCGACGTGTGCTTCCCAACATGTGATAACGTGTTTAACTCGGACAGACAGTCTCCAGATTTCTCCAGAACATATCTCCTCGGCCAGAGACTGTACGCGAGGCGGCATGTCCCCCTCCACAACATACTTATTTTGTCAGCATTAGCATACACGCTGGCATCTGTTGCCTAGTGGGGCAGGCTGAGTCATATGATTACAGTGGGGCTGGTGGAAGCCAGCTATAGCTTCGCCGCTCTCTGTGTCTTTGTCTCTCTCCTGCTCTCCTCATTTCACCCCCTTTCTCTGCTCCTTCACAGCTAAAAAGCCTCCCTCATAAATACACCATGTACCAGGGCAAAGCTATCCCGCAAAAAACATCTCCTCTCTCCCCCTCGTCGTATCTGACGACACGAGGCCTGCGTGTCCGCCGGAGTCATAATATCACTCAGGAGGAAGGTCATGTCCTCAACATGAAAGCACCATTAAGATCCGTCAGGGAGAGCGAACCGGGAATCTGGGACAGGACGGCCTGTTTGCTGAACAACAGCATGTAACGAGGGTTTCTAATAACGAGCAGAAAGTGGCCTCGGAGTGATCCCCAAAAATCTGTCTTTGTGCCCTGAAAACAGGAGGAACAGCCTTGTGCTATTATAAGTCACTGTTGCATGTGACTGCTTGTTATGTATTCCATTTTGTCGGCTGTGAATTCGCGGTCGTCTGGCGCCACCGTGTGGTGAATCAGATAACCTGCCTTCCTCTTAAGAGTACACAGAAATCCTTCAGGTTTGTTTGGTAATATCAGAACAGCACCAGTCGTCGGTTTAACCGTCGCCAGAATATCAGAAACCTGTTTACTGTCCGTTATATAACTTCCCCACTGATTTAAAAAGCAGCTGCTCGACTGTAACCATCCTTTTGCGACGCTTGATTTGAGAGTTGCATGATTATATAACTTGATTTTACTCTGAACCATCTCAGCGAGCGACAGAAGTCACGGATGAGCTTTTTATGAGTAAATAAATACCTTCGTTTGGTTGCGCTGCTCTGGGAGATGCAGCAGCAGGTTTTATGATCCACTATACTGTATTTCTTTTTAATAGTATGATAAACTGTACAGCTTACAAAATAAACCACAGCATGGCTAAGAGGAGGAAAAGTTAGAATAGTTATCATTAGTGTAGGATGAGTCTGTTTCAGCTTCTACCTATTGATCTCCTCAGGAGGTCAGGAGGTCAGTGTTTAGTAACCGTGTCACCGTCAATCACAGTCGGTTGTGTAACCGTGACGCAGCTAGTTTTCTGTAATTTCACACAAACAGGGCAGATTATGAACTAAAACAGTTCTTTTTTTGGTCAGATGGATGTGTTTTGTTGCTAAAGGCTGCACATAACAGAGTTAAATTATTCTTTATCTCTCCTCTCATGTTTTTTTTGTCCAGTTTTGTTTTCCGTCAAAGCACTCCAGTAGATGCTCGGTTGTTACGGTATAAACACCCGGAGAGGAGGTCATAAAGAGAAACCATTTATTCACTGCACAGCTTTCTGATGCGTTTTACAACCACCATGATGACAGATAATGTTTTGAGGAATTGGGTGACCTCTGCTGGCCGACACGTGTTACTGCAACTGTTGGCAGAATTGTACACAATTATAAAAAAATCATAATTAGTTTGGTAATTTGCTAGTTTCTGCTAATGTGGGCTGTTTTAGTGGGTGGTATTGATGCAGTTTGGCTACACCAGGACTTGTGTTGCATTTAAATGACTGAATGTGTTTTTTCCCTGCAGGTTGTGGGGATCTTCGCCGGCTTCGGCCTGCTCCTGCTCGTTGCCTCCCCCTTCCTCCTCCTGGCCACTCCCATCGTCCTCTGCTGCAAGTGCAAGTGCAGCAAAGGCGATGACGACCCGTTGCCAACCTAAGCACGCCATCGGAGTTGGAGCGGAGAGCCGCTCCAAGGATGGGCCATCTTTTTTTGTCCTTTTCACCCCTTTTTTTACATTCTTTTCCTCCCACCAGCTTTGAGAGCTTCATTTTTTTGGGCTGAGCCTGCACCAGCCTGAGCCGCTTTGGGATCCATCGCTCTGCATGAGGGGAGGCGAGGTAGGAGAAGCGACCCCGACACGACGGGGCTGGAGAGAGGGTCGGCGGAGGTCAGACTTGTTTAGGGACCACTGTTTGTGGGGATACGGAGGACGTCTGCACCACGTCAGCCGGCCTTTAGCTGCCGTGGCGTCGCATTTTTAGCAGGTCTTTGAAAAGGAACGAAGAAGCGACGCTGAGAAACGCTTTTCTCTTGTATGGACGGCGTCATGCAGGAGCCACCTTTGGAAAGACCTTTTTACTTTCTCGCTGTGTTTCGTTGGTTCGTCGTACGCAACAAAAAGCTTTCCCCCACCGCCGCCGCCGCCGCCACACTCGATGTAGCTCTACAGATTCAGTCAGTAGCATAATAGAGTCGCACCACGCATGTTTGGTGTTCACTCGATTTGCACACGGATCATGACTCGTCCGTCATGTCTGCGACTGAGGTAGAGATGGGAGGCCACCGTCGCTCTCAGCTCGATGTACAGCACGTCCTCCTGATGATGTCAATGTTTTATAATCTCGCGCTTTTAATAGAACCGTGCTCAGAGTAGTGTCTATGTGTCGTACTTTAGAGTGTTTTCCAACTACGCAGACGTATTAAAGGGGATCGCCACTCAAATCCCATTTTTTTGTGTGTGTGTGATAAAATAACAAACAGTAACTAGAATAACTATGTTTTCAAATCTTATTTTTTTCCTCATTATTATTATTGATGGATTTTCTTTGAAAAACCTCCAGATAGTTATTAACATACTTTTATTTTGAAACTCGAGTGGCGCTCCCCTTTAAGTTCAGCATCAATTTAAAGTCTATCGAACTTTGTATCCACATGTTGTGGAGCCATTTTAATACGTCACTTAAAAGAGATGTCAGTCCTGTAATTCTCAGTCCCTCGGTGGTGGTTTAGCCAAATAGAAATTACTAGCCTTAAATTGAGAATAGCCAAAATCAGGCATTTCCCCCCTTGTGCATTAAAAAAAGAAAAAAAAAAAGTGAAAAGTTAAATCCAAATAATCCCAGGGAAAGCAGGTTTAAAGGCATTTTTAAAGCATTACAGTCAGTGAAGCCCTTTATATTCAGATGATTCTATGATGTCATCCATATGCCACTCTGTTAATAGCCATAAAAATAAAAAAAGAAAGAAAAAAAACAATCCTAAAGTGATGTTCTGTGTAACCTAGGGCTTGTATTTTCTGAGTCTCTCTGAGCAGGAGGAGCTGATCCACATCCTGAACCCGGATCGGCGCTCCCGCTCCGAGAGACTTAACGAATACCTGCTGGCCGAAATTGCAAACTTGCATACGTTAGTGGTCAGAGTGTCGATGTTTCGTTTCGTTCTGTTGGTAGTTAGACCTCCAACAACAAGCAGCTAATCCTTGCAGGGACGTCAGAAAAAAATATATATATTAAAAAAAAAAAGAGAACTTTTGGGCACATGAATATCCAGCTGCTCTGTACTATATCACTTTATCTATGCAAGTTTGTACATTACCGTTCTTGTGAGGTTATCGATCGGTCAGAACAACCACGAGCTGCAGAATGTCACGACACATATCATGGCTTTAATTTAATCAGGGAACAGGTCAGCGAATATCCATCACACCTTCATCACACCTGTTATTTATTCGTCTTCGAGGTTCGCAGGACAGAATTTGGCCTTTTTTTTTTTGTCTTTATTTGTCCTAAATTTCCTTTTTACAGTTAATTAATTTTAAAGAAAAGAAGGAAAAAGCATTTTTAACCATTTATTTTAGGAAGGTCTTTCTGATCGGTTTAAGTTTTGCCATTCCAGTGTGTTGGATAAGCCATCAGCTCCATCCCTTCCCCTCCTGGTGCGTCTCACCAGTGTTCATGTAGCATTTCATGACAAGTGTGGCTACAGTTACCAAAAAAAACAACAACAACAACAACAACAAAGGCGGTCAGTAGTTAGCAAGAGTAGCTAATCGAAGCTAAACAGTAGCTCAACATCTGCAACTCCCACCTGTCGTTGCAAAATTTAGCTCAGTGTGATTCTAATGATTTTTAGTAGCCTTAAAGTTCCAGTGCTTTACCCGTAGCTTGCTTTCACTGACCTCACCTCCTGTACGAGCATGACGGTTTGATATCGAAGCCAGATCCATTTTCTACCTTTTGATGTTACGTTCTATCCCTTAAAAGAAGAAAAAAAAAAAAGAAAAAGTTGTTGAATTCCCGAAGCTTTCGTTGTTTTTATGACAATCGTGCCAAGCAGATTTCCTGGAAGGGACGAGGAAACTGAGCTGTCTAACGTATGTGCATTTTGACCATGTATTTGTAACGTATAACAGTTTTTACAGGGTGGAGAGATAAAAAAAAAACACAACAGATATTTTAATGCTTCTTTACGCTGCACTGTAAATGGGTTTCATTGTTTTACTTCTTGATATGATCTGTGACGTGTGTGGTTTGGTGCCTGCTGTTTTTAATGGAGGAAAAAAAAAGAAAAATCAATGTCAGCTCAACAGAATACATAGAATTGTACTTTTTAAGACGTTTTTTCTCAATTTGATGCATCAGGGGTCAAGAATAAAAAGAGTAAAATGTTCAATTAAACACCAAAACATGGTCAAAGTGTGGAGCAGGCGCCGGTTTTGGCCGCTTCTTTACCGAACAGGTTATGCAACGAACACAAGGGCCAAACAGGACACGCTCCGATCGCTGCAGCGTCACATCCTCACTCGTTCTTCAGGGTCACGTTACCGCATCACACGCATGAATCATCGGCGCAGGTGTCGGAGGACGGGATTGTTTGAGTTCTGATGTTGAACTTTTGTTTTACTAAAAGATCTACTTTCCCTTCAGATTCGTTTGGGTTCTGAGCAGCGGTTTATATTTTTTGTGTCCAGAGATGAAGCTGCATGATTTTTCTCTGACTTCTACATATTCAATATTACAATACTGTAGCCTCTAAAGATCTTTGGAATGGTAGCTTTGACATCATTCGGTCGTCTGGTGTTTGTTTGTTTGTTTTCTTCCATTTTCTTTGTTTATAAAATGCGTTTCGATGTTCAGCCATATAACACACCAGCCTGCCTGTGTTCAGGAGGCCGGTTTCATGTGTCTGTTTCTGTTTTTTCTTTTCTTTTTTACACTCATGTTACATCCTAGTTTGTGTATTTGTATTATCTGTTTAAAAGAGCGGAACTCTGATTGGTCGATCGGTTATTGATTAGTGATCAGTCGCCTCGGTGAAGTGGAGGAACTGTTGTCTGTACGCAACATTTTAGAGAAGTTAAAACCGGTGTCTCTAAGTGAAGCGACCACGATACCGGCATATTGTAAGATGGCATATTTGAATCAGTTCTGTACAACGTTAGACTCGGCATCTCCGTATATCTACAGCTCCACTAACACTGTGACACCAGGTATTAAAGGTTGTTGTTTTTTGTGATTCTGTTCTCGTCTTTGATTTGCACCAAAAGTCATCACATACAGACCCTTTCCAAAAAATAATAATATCAGGGGAAAGTTTATTTATTTCCATAATTCCATTCAAGAAGTTAAACTTTCATAGAACTGAGAAGTAAACGGTGATTTCTTCACAGTATTCTAATTATTTGAATTCCTGTTTTTGTGGGTTTTATGAGCTGGAAGCTCAAATTATGTAAAAAACAAACAAATAAATACTTTAAATCATTTAAACTATGGGCCCTGAATCTATAATCTATGAAAGTTTAACTTGTTGAATGGAATTATGGGGGGGAAAAAACAAACTTTTCCACGATATTGTAATTTTTTGGAAAGGGTCTGTTCATAACAAACATACCTTGAACGTCTCCTGTGGCCCTCTAGGTTGAGAAATGTCGCCCTCTGGTGTTTGGAGTGTGTACTTCTGTTTGTTCATTAGAAGGAGACCTGAAGTAGGAGATGATTTGCATAAATAATCAGTTAAAATAGAGATTATCATTTGTAAAGCAGTCTGGAAATGATTAGTAGTTAAAAAAAAAAAAAAGAAAATATTTTAATTGTATGTGTTTGTTTCTATTAGCAACACACAGCTAAAGAAATCCATCATTAGATAAAAAACGAGCCGTGATTTAGTCGCTAATCACGAGACTAAAACACATTTTTTCATCTTTAATTGTTCTGATCCTCCTGTCCGGGCCGATGAAGAACTCGAGCGACCCAGTGACTTTCTAAACGCTGTTTTTTTTCTCCTCCTAACAATGACCTTTTGTCGAAGCCATTCTCTTCCTCTCATCTCGCCTTTGTTTAACTTGCGTCGAGCATCTTTCCCTCATATTCGCGGCGGCTCTGTCTGTTCTGTCTGTTTCATTGCTGCTCTTTGTGTTCATCAGACATGTGTCAGCCTTTTGTTAAGGTCTGCCAAAGAACAGGTTGTTCTCTCCCTCTCTCTGCCTTTGTGTCTATTTCCTGCCAGATGCTGGATTGGGAGCATTAACAAGACAACCCTGAAAATGAAAGTGCAAACGCTCGGTGATATATCATCCCTCACCAGCTGTTCTCTGTTTGGAAGTCTCTCCACCAATCACTGGGCAGGACCACAGGAAGTTACCATCTGTGGGCGCCATGGTGACAGGGTTTGCGGATGGGCGCTGAAGCTGATGTGTTATCTGGAGCAAATGAAGTATGATGCGGGCGGAGGGTGCCAGGAGGTGCGGGGATGGAAATGGGAGAGATGGACGGAGAGACGGGGAGGAGTGCATCACCTGGAAGACAAAGAGCCGAACCTTCAGAGAAACCGGAGACAGACAGCCAAGCTGCAGCATTCAGAGAGAGAGAGAGAGAGAGGGAGAGGGATGGATGAAAAGAGAAGAGACAAGGCCTCTGCACCTGCTCTGTATAGAACACAAGATTCTGCTATCACACGTGTGCTGGCTGCAGGCCCATCAGGCTGGTCGGCTCCGGCTTCACCGTCCAACACCCTGCTGCCAAGTCGTCCTCCTGCTCCCCATCAGCATCCTCTCCTCCGCTGCTCCGTACTTACCAACCATTCAACAACTATTAACCTTTCAGGCTTTACGCTACGGCCAGAGCGTCGGAAACCTTACGACGGTCGGAGGTCTTTTTGTGAGTGACTATAACTTGGATAACGGCTCTGGTGTCTATTATAAAGTACAGATGAGACTCTTGATAGAGAACTGGGCAACGTGTCCGCGCATCATAAAATATCTGAATATTCAGATTATGTAGAAAATGATCCTGTTGTAGTTCAGTGGTTGCCAGCATTTGAAGCAACGTTTAAGCGCTTTAATTTCCTTATTTGAGTGTTTTATTTGAGTCGAACAAGATGGAAACTATTCAGGACAAAAGCTGGAATTAAAGAAAAGTCTGAAAAATAAACAGAACCACGTGTAGCCGAGTTTCCTAAACGAGTAATTATCCTCTGACCCCTAAAATTCATCTCATGACCTCATGCTCGTGAGTTCTCTCCAAACTAATTCAGTTATAGCCGACGGAGACGAACACAAACGTGTCTCCAGGAAGTCAGTGTGCACAGAAGGAACCTTTAAAAACACAGACGTGAAGTTAAACATTAGTTAAAGTGACGACTTGTGTGAGTCAGTGGCTAAAAGCTCATTAAGGTTCTGCCTCGTGATCTGCAGCACGTCGTCTAAGTATGAGAGAAAAGGAATGTACTACGTATTAAAACACCTTCTTCATTCAATTAATGATCATATTCTGCTGCGATTAGCTTGTTTTTCATTCAACTGATACATTATTTAGTGAACAAGACGTCAGAAAGTATTTTTAAAGCATCAGATGTCTTGTTCTGTCCAAACCACAGGCTAAAATTCAACAATATTCAGGTTGCAAGGTTTAAAAAAAAGGAAAACGGCCTCATATTCGACAGCAACAACAAATGTTTGGTGTTCTTGCTTAAAAAAAACTACTGAAATGATTATTTGTTTGTCAAAATAGTTTTAGCACAGCTTTGTTAATAACTGATTAATCAGCTAGTGATTCCTTCAGGCATTGTTTGGTGTATTTCTATCTGCACCATGCACAACATGAAGACTAAACTACATTTACATCCACCTGATAGTGAACCTGTTTGCCAGCAGAGGGAACCAGAGTGCTGCTAAACGGTTCATCCTGTCCGTCAATAACCACCAACTTTAAATAAATCAAAAGCCAAGTGACACATCGAGCTCAGTGAGATTAAGATGAAGCTCCGTCTCTACGTTTTATTGCACATTTTTCGAAAGCTGCCACAAATTTCCGAAGCAGCAACAGTGGGATAAATCATTCATTCTGCACGGTTCAGCGCCCTCGTTTGTTCGCCACAGAGGGAAGGAAACGCCGCTCAGTGCACAACAACATACAACCGTGTGCTGCTTTCTGTCCCACTGAGCATTTATTACCTATTCTAAAGGCTTTCCCCTCCGTCCTGACATGTCACGCTGACAGGCAGCGCTCGGCCCCACCGAGGGAAGAATGGAGTAAACACACTCTGACATTAGCAGCTAAGAGCTCCCCGCCAGCTCTCGATGGGGGTGAAGGGTTAATATTAGGCATGTGCATTCTCTCATACTTGCACAAAGCATACAGGACTCTAATTGTGACCAGGGGCCATTGTACATCAGCCAGTGACTGACATAAGATGACAGGGTCCCGCCTCTGATCTATTTTATCCCAGCATGCAGTTGCATTGCTCAGGGTCCTTTAAGCCCATGACACCTATTAGCTCTCATTAGCTTCCCGTGGTTCAGCAAGATGGACTCTGGTCTGTCAAATCAACAAAAAGGACATACATATGTATGTCTGGAAATACGAGCAATGACCTGCTTAGATTGTGACAAGACAAAGTCCTGGAGAGCAGGTCTCAGCACATGGACATTTGGAACGTATTACAGTATTGACATAAAGGAATAAGAACATTCTGGCAAACACGTTTGCTTTCTAGCTGCCAGTTAGATGAGAAGTCGGATAACTCTGTTGTGTCTATCTGTGGTTACAGTCAGGAGATGGTCAACTGAACACAGAAGTGGGAAGCAGCTAGTCTGAGCTAGCAGCTCAGTAGTCAACAGGAGATATTTGTTTAATTTGCACAGAAACCACAATGCCTTCTTGCAGCCTTGTTATTACTCTGAGGTTGCCAAGCAAACAAGAGAGGATCCAGGAAGTCACTGCGAACGGCCAAGAAACCATCCTGCAGAACTGTAACGTGTTGTTTCCACTCAGAGGATGCCGTCTGCAATAAACAGACGCTGTTGACCTCTGGACTCGGGATGCCTCCTCGCACTCGGCCCAGTCGATGAGCGGACTCCGTTTCACTGGTTAGTTGGATACAGGAAGAAAAAAAAACCTCCACAGGTAGCGGCAGCAGTCCGTCACGCCGTGACCTTTACATGGCTGGCTGGTGATTGGACAGTAACTGAACATGTTGTGCAGGAAATCCAAAGTGTGCGATCGTTTCAGAGGGTAAAGGACGACCCCAGGAAGGAGGCATGCACACTCAGGTTTGTTTCCACAAAATAAGATGTAGGCCTGGTGGCCGGTACCGGCTGGAGTGGGCCTCACTGAGCCTCTCCCAGAACACTCTCATGCACACCCTAGAATAATAGTCACCCAGACAGGGCCGGTAAGGCGGCTTGATGGACTTTCTGATGGTCCCTCCAATGCAATGGTCTGGACACCACTGCAGCTACGTGTCTGTTTTGACTGATGGCAGCATTAAAGCAGCTTTCTTGTGTTAGCTTCTTAAGGCAGGGTGCTCTGGTGTACTAGTGAAGGCCTGCCTTCTTCTGCAGTCTTGCTATGTGCACTACTGGGCTTCAGAGAGTCTCCTCGCTGGTTTTTCAGTCTCTGCAACTCGCTTCAAGTTTATTCGTTTTTATTTTTTATTATGGTTTTGTATTTCTCTGTAACGTACCACAGTGCTGGGAGTGCTACTTAAAACAAACTCTGTCTATAGACATTTTTTTTTATGCCCCCAAAAAATGTACATTTACCACTGTCGCCTCACAGCTAGAAGGTCCTGAGTCCATGTTCTCCCCGTGCAGCGTGGGTTCTCTCCGGGTTCTCCGGCTTTCTCCTACAGTCCAGAAACATGCTGAGGTTAATTGGTGATTCGAAATTGTCCGTAAGTGTGAATGTGAGTGTTTGTCTCTCTATGTAGCCCTGTGATAGACTGGTTACCTGTCCAGGTGAACCTGCCTCATGGATGGATAGATAATGGATGGATGGATGGAAATGAATTCCATAAACATGTGATGACGAGTCAACTAGAAAACCTTTGGTCAGGGGCAGATCCAGGTTAGCCATTTTCAGCATTTATGCTAAGCTAACTGGCTGCTTGGTGTAAATAATCAACGTAAAGAGAACGCTAAAAGACATTTTCCTGTTTCATTGTTCTTCCAGTAACAACAACACAGTTTGGTGAAACACAATCACATCCCTACGACAACGTTCCCTGGACTTTCCATT